TATATTCACTATTTTGCTTTATTTTTTAGATTTCACATATAAGTGATATCAGTTTTCATTCTTTTTTAATGGATGAGTATTATTCCATTGTGTATATACACCACATCTTCTTTATGCATTCATCTGTTGATGGACACTTAGGTTGCTTCCATATCTTGGCAATTCTAAGTAATGCTGCTAAGTACATGGGGTGCATGTATCTGTTCGAATTAGTGTTTTTGTTTTTCTCAGATATATACCCAGCTGTGGAATTGCTAGGTCATATGGTAGTTCAATTTTTAGTTTTTTGAGAAACATCCATATTGTTTTCCATAGTGGCTGCGCCAATTTATATTCCCACCAACAGTTTATGAGTGTTCCTTTTTCTCCACATCCTCTCCAACATTTGTTATTTGTGGGGATTTTTTGATGTTAGCCATTCTGACAGGCGTGAGGTGATTTCTCATTGTATACCACATCTTCTTTATCCATTAGTCTGTTGATGGACACGGATTGCTTCCATATCTTGGCTATTATAAATAGTGCTGCTATGAACATTAGAGTGCATGTATCTTTTAAATTATTTTTTCATGTTTTTTGGATATATGCCCAGGAGTAGAATTGCTGGGTCATATGGTAGTTCTATTTTTAGTTTTTTGAGGAACATCCATACTGTTTTCCATAGTGGCTTCATCAATTACAGAAATTTGATTTCATGTTTCATAATCATTATAGAATATTCTCATGGGTAGATATAAAATTTTTCAGTGTATCTCTCCAAATAAAAAGCAAAGCAAAAAATACTTTTATGTTTCTCGAATATGAACAAAGTACCGTACTAGATAGTTAACACAGTGCATGGCACCTAGTAGGGCTCAGTAGGTGTTTGTTGAATAGATGAATGCATAAAAAAGCATGGAGTTCCCAGAATTAACAATTGGCAATAGCTGACATCAGAGTTAAAGTAGACTTTGAGTTCCTTCCAATGGAAATACTTCTGGCAGGTACCAGTGAACTGAAGATTTTTCTAAATCAACGTGGAGAGCAGTGTGATATCGCAATATTAGCTCCATTCCAACCCACTTATTCTTCCATGCTTGCAGCTCTGGTGCAGTCAATGAAAGGTATATCTAGGAAAGTTAGAATGCAATTTGGCCCACAGCTGGTAACTAAATATGAAAATTGGAGTGAATCTAAATATTGAAAGGAAACTGAATTTGTGGGTGACCTGCTGGGTCGGATAGGATTGGAATCATTTGCCTGATGATGCTAATCAGTCACCATTTCATTTTGAAATGGAAGCCCAGTAATCAAATAAGTTTAGTAAAACTTGTGTTTACAGAGATCTAGTCAAAATGATTCTGTATTTTCCTAGTGGAAGTCATGTTTTGCCTTTCTAATTAAATATTTGCTTACATGTGTGTGATACAATGTCTCTGAATGAAGCAAAAAGGACACTTCTAATTCTTACGGGAATTAGAGTTTAGGTTTTTCTTGGTCTCAAGGCCCCAAGTTGCCAGAAAAATATATTTGTATTTATCTGTTGCCTGTTATCAGTTGGATTATCAAACTCTGAAAATCTTACAGCATGTGTATAACAAGAATGAGTCAACAAGCATGAGAGCACCACTGGATGAGATGTAGAATTCTGCTTAAGCCATTTCCCAGTACTTTTCCCTTAGGAATATTACTTAATCCTTGGTTTCCTCACCTGTAAAATGAGGATAATATACCTGCTGTCCACATTACAGGTTGTTGAGAGAGGCAATCAGATATGATAGGATGGCAGAACCATGCAGAGTATAAAAGTATGAACGTGGAGTCTGAGGAGCCTCAGTTTGAGCTCTGGACCTTCCACTAACTCTGTGATATTGAGCAAGTAACTTAACTTTAGTTTCCTCATCTGTCAAATGGGGATAAAGATAATACCCATCCCACACACTTGTTCAGAGGATTAAGTAAGATGATATATGTAAAGTACCAAGTATCTATGATAATGACTAACATTGATGAGCACTTCCTGTGTTCCAGGTATCTGGTAACATGCATGTATATGCTCTCTATGGTATAAATAAACTGTGTGAGGTGGAGGCCTGGTTAGTGTGCTTTTCCTTTCCCAACCTTTGCTCCTGCATGGTGGCCTTGCTTCTACAGTGCATAGACCTGTCAAGTGAAGAGTTCTTACCAAGGATGTTTACCAAGCAGTAGGGAAGAGACCATTTTACAGGATCTACTGCTCCTGAGAGGAAAGCCCTGGGGCGATGACCTAGGAGATCTCTAGCCCAGGAGTTGGATATGGTTGGCTCCCAGAAAAAGAAGACCTATGATTTGCACTCTGGATGCATTTCTGTAGGAAGGATCATGTCACAAGGGTCCAGGGCCCTGGGAAAAGGAAACCACAGCCAAAAGGAATGAGCAGGAAGAGGCTAGTTATTCATGTCCTTCCTCCCCCTCAAATCAGCCTCCACCTTTTGATTGTCATTGCCTTCAACTACCAAAGAAATTACCTGTTATTTTACTATTATAACTAGTTTTATTATCGTCATAATTGCCATTATTATTAACAGCTAATGTATAGTAAATGCTTACATAGGGCAAAGTTCATTGACTTATTTATCATCACAACAACAATCCTATGAGGAAGATTCTATTATTATCCTTATTTTACAGATGAGTGAAGTGAGGATAAATCAGAGGATAAAATACCTGCTTAAGCTAGCAAGTGATATTTCTGGGATTCAAAGCTTGGGACTGTCTGGCTCTGACCCCCTATTTCTAACTACTGTACTACCCCCTGATTTGCTTAATTATTCACAGCTGAGTTCAAACTCAACAAGCCACTTGAGTCAAAATCCATGTGTTACATTTCTTCGTACCTACCTAACATTCAAGCTGGTAGAAATCAGGCAATGGGCCATCAGTAAATGCTATTTGGATTGACATATACACACTACTATATATAAAATAGATAATGAATAAGAACCTACTGTATAGCACAGGGAACTCTACTCAATACTCTGTAATGACCTATATGGGAAAAGAATCTAAAAAAGAGAGGATATATGTATATGTATAACTGATTCACTTTGCTGTACAGCAGAAACTAACACGACATTATAAATCAACTGTACTCCAATAAAAATTAATTTTTATAAAGGTCTAATAGAAGTCCTCTCTTTAAATTTTGATGATTTAGCACACTAGATTTTTAAATGATAGACACATCTTTATACCTGTTTTATTTAGGGAAAGCCATGTTAATCTGCACTTTCATTCAAAGTCATTGGTTCCTCTGTTGCTGAAGAATCTAGATGGCCTCTGACCTCCCCATCTCTCCTGCCCTCGGGGCTTCAGAGTGGGTGAGGATGGAGAGAAAGCTTGGGCTAGAAGCAGGGAGGACTGGTGTTGGTCAGTCTGGACCCAGGCAGCCTCACTTCTGCCCAGTTTCTTTCATCCCCAGGAGAGCTGCCTCCTTTCCTTGCCTTTGCCCTCTAGGCTGCCTTCCTCACAACAAGAGAGCAGTGCCTAGGAGTTTGCTCAGCACTTTCAGAGTCTTTCCAACAGAAATGAACTTCTGCTCAACTTGTCCTCAAGTCTCTTTTGAAAACCAAAAGAAATAACTGGGGTTGATAGTCAATGTGCCATAGCACTAACAAAAAAATCCCATTTTGTAGCAGAGGGAGTGAACTTTAACCTTCTGAGAATTTTTGGTTTTCCGATATGAAATGTCTTTTATTGTTTTAAGGTACGTTCTCATGTGTTTTTCTCATGTCACAAAAAAGGTTTTCTTGGGAGTAATGTAATTCATTGTAATTAATCCTCTTAAATGAAAAGATGAATTTGAGTGTAGAAATGTAGCTAGAGTTTTTAAAACATTTATCAGTAAAAGCTATAGGGTTTACTCTCTAAACAAGCTCATTTAAATGTATCAGGTTAATTACATAGCTACAAAGTTGGATGAAAAGCCTTGATTGGATTTGTTCTGCTCACACAGCCTTAATTGCACATGACAAGAAAACACTTTTAGTCAGTGAGTGCATCAGACTGCCATGGTCACTCCAGCAACCTGCTCCAGTGAAATTTCAAATATGCGTCATCTCAGTGCTTGCCTTATGGGAAAAAAATTAAATGCTGAACGTTTCCCCTTATTTACTATTCAGTATTCAAAATTTAAGAGGGAGAGAGATCCTTTGTGCTGTACCTCCAAAAAGGAAACAGTCACTCAACCTTATTTAAAAACCCACATGAATTGTTGTAATTGTACTGTAATGAATTATAAAACTCAGGGCAAACTACAGTGATTTCTTTAGCAAGTTCCAAAAGTAGCACTGACTGGATTCCAGCAGTCAAGGTATTTCAACCTTAGGTAATCAATCAAAGGGCTGGAAAGAAGTAAATTAAAGGTAACCCAGTACTCTCAACACCATTGATTTATCATTTATCACAGCAAGTGTTACACACACTGATTGCCCACTTTCTTGAGGAAGTCTACAATCAACTGCTATTTATCCACAGCCGATTTCTAACCTAATGCCAGTTTAAACTATTGAGGGAATGGAATCAGGACTAATTGTAACATTCACTTTAGAAAAACATAATTAGAAAGGTAAATATTCAGGAGCCAGATATACATTCCTTTTGGATTATGCAGTTATGGATTACCAGTATGGATTACTAGTTTATCTATATGGTTAATCCCCTCTATTAGTGTGGATGATCCAGAACTGGATGCAACTATTGACATGTTGAAAATGATGTTAGTTATTATATGACATTAGTTTCACTAATTCCATCAAAGATATTTTTTCTTTGCCAACAATCTTCCCTTTAAGGCCTGTTGTTATGCATGCAATTTTGTTTACTTTTGGGGTTTCCTAATTTTAAAAAGCATGAATCTAGGCACGATTATTCATCTTTGGGGAAAAATAAGTCCCTAATAATTTGGGGCTTGAAGGGAAGTTAAAACTGTAATTTATTCTGTTTCACAGTCCCAAAGATGACCTTTCTCCTCTCTCGTGCAGCAACCATCCACCGTGAGTTATGCAAGACACATCATTAAGAAGGAAGGCTTGGGACTCCAGGGCCTCAACAAAGGATTTACAGCAACTTTGGGACGTCACGGAGTTTTCAACATGGTTTATTTCGGCTTCTACTACAATGTCAAAAACATTATTCCTGTCAATAAGGTAACTGTTTAATAGATTAAAATCCTGGAGGAAAAATCCTCCTATCAATGATGACAGCTGCATTTGTAGAGTATTTATCCTTCCAAGGCACTGTGCTGAACTCTTATGTCTGTTATCTAAGTTGATCCCCACATCAGCCTTGTTAATTGAGTGCTGTGATCCCTATTTTGAATTCAGAAACAAAGACTCAGAAAGACGAAGTAAATTGCTCAGAGTCACATAATAAAGAGCAAGGCAGAGCCTTGAACCCAAGTCTGACACCAAAACTCATCTTCTTGAAGAATGCACCATTAACACCTGAATGCTTCACATTTATCACTAATAGGAATTTCTAGAAACTGTTATTACTTAATTTTTATCTCAGAAGCATAACTTTCTCAAGGAAGTTGAAATTTTCATAGTGTAAATAAATTTTGAGTTCATGAGGGAAAATTATCAGCCTAAACTTTAAATTTTACCTAGATAGTAATTTTTAAATTCACCTAAGTTAATTAGGGTAAGTAGTAAATCAACTCTTCTAGGATCATTCACTTTTGATATAAAATAATAATAATTTTTAATGGTAACTTACAGATGTCAGCAGCCTTTCAACTTTGACAAGATAAAAGTAACACATGATGTGTTTTAAAATGAGCATCTTTGGGGCTTCCCTGGTGGCACAGTGGTTTAGAGTCCGCCTGCTGATGCAGGGGACACGGGTTCGAGCCCCAGTCCGGGAAGATCCCACATGCCGCAGAGCGGCTGGGCCCGTGAGCCATGGCTGCTGAGCCTGCACGTCCGGAGCCTGTGCTCCGCAACGGCAGAGGCCACAACAGTGAGAGGCCCGTGTACCGCCAAAAAAAAAAAGTATTGAAGAACTTTTTATAAAGAATAAAAATATTTCTAATATGGCTATCACCTGATTCTATAAGATAATGTTGGTTACAGTTGCCTTTTTCCAGCTGTCCCCTGTAATCTAGGCCAGTACTTATCTCAAGTAACAGCTAAATCCAAGGCATGTTCCCCATTAAGTATCTGTTGACATTGCCTCACTCGCCAAAATTGTTAACCAGGTTTCACTCTATTTAGAAACCTCATTTTTTTAGTATAACCTCATGTTTTGTTGGTCTGAAATCTATGAATGGCCACAGAATATATAGATTCCCCCACTGACTGACAATTCTGACTCTGGTGGTCCTCAGAGCTCTTCTCCTGTTGAGTTCTTGAAATACAGAAGTAGAGTACAATAAACACTTTGGTCGTGGATGACATGAGAGAGTTCAACTCTACATACATTAAAAAAATGTTTTTAGCAGGAACAGATTAACAATCTTTGGAGCCCTGGGCAAAATGAAGATGTGCAAAAATCAAGAATTTCAAGACAGCAACTGTAGAGCAATAAACCAAGCATGGAGCTCCTCTAAGTGCAGGCTCTGGGCAACTGCACAAGTCACACAGCCATGAAGCTGATGTTTTTTAAACTCTGAGATGAGTGATTCATACAACGTGGGAGAAATGTCCATGCCTCTATTTCTCCAGCTATCCAAAGGCTTGCAGCAGATAGAAATTACACACAATGAAATGAATGATATAATTTACAAATATTATATTAAAAATATATATTTTATTATATATATTTGTGCATGTATTTTAATGCATATGTTATTACAATAATATGAACTTGGTTATATTTAAAGAAGAATTTCAGAAGGATCAATAAGATTTATATATGATTGTGTTACTAATGCTTAAAAAAATCCACGAATGCAAACTTCATTCTACAATTAATCAGTACACTTAAGTTTTAAATGTTATGCATTATGAGAAAAACAGAAGCTTAAATATTTATTTATTACTTAAAAGACAGCATAGTATTCTGAAATTATGGAAAGAGCTCACTTATCTTGCCAGCTTACCAGGGTCAGATTATATTGGCCCTTATAGGCCACACTAAGGATTCTTCTGTTTATCTGAAGAGCACTGGGAAGCCAACAAAAGATTTTAAGCCGAGGAATTACCTGATCACTCTGGCTGCAGCGTGGAGAATGGGTGGAATGGGGGTGGTGTGCAAAAGACAGAGTGTAACATGGAAATGATTGTTATGTGCAATGCTGGCGTCTTGGACTACAGTGTTCATGGTGAAGACAAGGGGAAGTGGACAGATTTGAGAAATGTTTAGAAGGCAAAATCTATAGGATGTGGTGATCGAGTCTACGTGCATGTTGATAAAAGGGGTAGTGGGGAGGGATGGTGCCTAGGTTTGCAGCTTGAACAACTGAAAGGATAATGGTGCCATTCGTTGAGAATGAACAAGTTTGGGGGAGAATATTATGGGCTGAGCCTGGAAAACTGAGTTTAACCACATTTGGACTCTGAAGTGCAGATGTTGAATCAGTGATTGCACGTGGGATCTTGAGAGGAGAGCTCTGAAATGGAGATAGACATCTAGACAGCAGTAGTATACCTGGGCGAACATACTTTTACTGGGGAATGATCATGGGCCAATCACTTTACTGCTCTGAGCTTCAGTGTTTTTAATGTGTAAATTGAAAAGCTAAGATTGTCCTTTCTACCTGACAAAATGGTTTTGAGGATTAAGATAAATAATACATGAAGTTGTTTGTGCATTTAAGGTGCCGTGGAAGTGTTAAGTGTGGAGGTGCTGATGACAGGTATGGGAAGAGGAGTAGAGACGGAGGGTGGTGCAAGCAGTGCGTCTAGAACTGTGTGAAGAACTTTTCCCCAGGACTGTTCCTTCTGCACTTAAATGAACGCTGTGGGGTTAGTTGTGGGTTTTGCTTTCAGGGGTATTTTGCCTAGAAGAAAGTCATTGATCTTATGTGTTCTGTAATCTAAGCCTGATTCAAAACTGGGAAACCAGTATTCTTTAAATTTAAACCATAATAAATCAGTCCTTTGTGAAGAGGAAGATATGATAATCATTAAAACATGTTGAAGAACGTCATCAAGTTGTTAACCACGAGGAGGAGGTGGTGTTCCTTGAAGGCTTTTTTCCATCTTTGCTCTAGGCTGGCTCTAGCCATACACTCCAGACAGTTTGTTTACAGGGTTATTGTTTCAATTCCCTCACCCAGCAATTGGTCATTCTGTTGTCCCAAGGGAATTTGAGATTTCACCGACTCTGACTGGCATGGGATAATTCTAGATTTTTCTTTAACATTTTTAAAATTGATAAATTGTCTACCAACGTTTTCCATTTTCAGAGTATTTAATTTTACAAGAAACTGTCCATAATGATCATGTCTGAGGAGTGGAAATGGAGAGTCCTATGCGTGTGTGTTTGTGTGGAGCGGTGGGGAGAGCAGGAAAAAGCAGGGAGCAGTGGAGGGAAAGTACTTTTTCTTTACAGAATTCTGAGCTGTTGGAAGCTTCTACAAGAAGCATGTATTAATTTTATAATAGGACATAAATCTGTGAAAATTTTAATAGACTCTTATAAAATAGAGTACCTAGTTAACTTTTTAACACTTTACTCAACTCTAAGACTATGTCTACAGAGGTAAAATAAGAACTTGAAACAGTAAGTTCAGATACCTCAGGTCAGATACCCACCCTGAAGTTTTTAACTTTAACTCCCCAGATTGGTGATCTCTGGTAGATGCATTTTTCAAGATTCACAGAAATATCCTGACCTTCTGTGCCATTTTGTACTATTAAAACCATTTTTGTAGACTTCATGATTTTGCCTGATCCTTGTCACAATAACTGTCATTTTCAGGTAAGGAAAGAAAAACAGGAAGTAAAGGCCCAGAACTGAAAGTTACTGACATAATTTATCTGAAGGTATACAGCAGTGGGAAGGAAAGAACCAGAGGTCAGAACTCTTTCTGCTATACCATGTAATGCTTTAACCCTACATCTTACCTTGTCTTTTGTCACACATAAATTGTCATTTTTAAATGATTACCAGAATTTAAATAAGTGAACTGGCTACAATAGCCAGACAGTGTTACCAGATTCTGCTTTTGCCTCATTCAGACCTGGAACCTGGTCTTCCCTTTTCACATCCTTAGTCTCTGATCCATAGAAACAAAGAATTATGAGACATGACCCTGGAAGAGCTGGGCATTACCAGTTTGAAAATGGTGCTGTGTTATATTCTTGCAGACTTATTTTTAGAATCTAAATATTCCTACAGAATGGTGAATAAGTGGTTACAATAGAAAAGTTTGCTTTGAATATTAACTGACCATGGAATTCCTTTAATGGTGGCATTCATTTTCATCTTGCAGTAAATGGAATGGAATGTCAGTATAAAGAATTATCCCTTCTCCCCAGAAAGAGGCCATCACTTCTTAAAGTAAAGCCTTCTAGAAATAGATATTGATTAACTTAAATGCTGACATCTTTTTCAAATATCAATGAAGGTAAGCTTTGATTGCAAAACCGATTTCTTTCATTTCCATTCCAAGGTAGGGTGTTCAGAGCATTTTATTTGTGATGTTGACACACAAATGAGAATGGTAAGATTTAAATGTTACATCTCGTTGATAACTTTGTCTTCTAGTTCCATATTTACTGCTTTTCCTATATTTCCATAAGTAAAATAATAATAATAATAATAGTAGAAATTGATGTCTAAAGTTCATGGCTGTCAACAATATTAAACTGTGCTTTCACTTTGCATCCTAATTAAGCATGTTTGCAGGTTATTTTGCCAAAAACAATAGACCTTTTGTGTTGAATTCTGCCATGATATAAATCACATGTGTGGGTTAGAAATATTCTAGGAGAGAACAATTTTTCATAGGTTCAATCCTTCTTACTTAATAAACCATTTAGACCTGTCCCTGTGGTCATTTTACTACAGATGGTATTAAGTCAAACATTTTATTTTCTCCTAAGGTAATATCCATAAAAGATTGCCTTTTAGAAACGCAAATGTTTTTCTTTTACTTTTGATTTTTAATATTATCTTTGTTTTGTAAATTCTGTAGAAAGTCTGAGGGTGGTGCCAGATGCACTTCAGTTTATCAGAAGAATGTGGAAATATGTTAGTT